TGGCCCGCGCGTCGTGCAGTTACACCGTCATTTGTGGAAGGATGAGCCGAGTTTCTTGTCATCGCCGTGTTGTTGGTGCCCGCTCCTTGTTGTTCAGCGACGCGATTATGATCATGCTGGTCGTGTTCAGTTGATGCAGCAGCGTCATGCTGTTGCCTGGGGGTGCTGCCCAGAAGCACGGTGCTCATCGCACTGCTCGGTACACTGGTGGATGCGCACATGGGGGGGTCCTGGAGATCCGGGCTGCAAAAACTTTTGCGCGCTGAGCGTGTTCGTCTGGCTCCAGGCCCCGTGATTCTCGCAAATCGATCCGGCTTGGGAACCGTTCGACAAATGCGGGGTCGCAATGTCGGATTTCGGGGTATTGGGCGTTGGACGGGTTGGGACTGTCGCCCTGACCTTCCTAAGTCGCGCGGGAACACAATTTCTGGGACGCCCGCCATGATAATTTTTTAGCCTGCTGTAAACTGGTGAGACGAAAGCGCGACGCTGAGGCGAGAGCCACATTGTGGAAATGAACCGCCCTCGATCCGTGAAGGTCGCGCGATCTGTTGGAGTGAATGTGCGCGGCGCTGAAGCGAACACCACATGTTGGAAAAGGCTCCGCCCTCCATCCGCGCAGCCTTTCCAAATTTCACACACATAGGCACGCACATGCATACATACATGCCTCTTCTATTCTCTGTGAGCAAGCTCCTGCTGTCTCCGCAGCTTCTCTGCCCAAGTGCCCCCCGTCGGCCGCGCGCGCGGGCGCCTTATGCAGGCGGTCGCACAAGCGGCTCTCCAGGGCGCTGGGGAGATTTTGTTCAGGGGGCTGCGGGCCGCGCTCTACGAGCGGCTCGTGGCTGCCCCCCTCTCTGTGCTTCAGGACCAGGGGCCTCCATCGCCTGCCTGGTCCATCCAGCAGGCGGACTCGTCCGAGGGTGAGGGGGCCTCCTGCCCTCTCCCTTCGGCGGGTTCCACCTGCCCCACCGTCTGCCTCGGGCTGGCGGTGGACCTGAGCGGCGGGGTCTCTCCCTGGCTGCTCAGCACGGTCGCCGCCCTCCTCTGGGTGACGGCCGCCTGCAGCGCCTGCGCGGGCTGCTGCCTCGGGCTGCTGGGCCCGTACGTGTGGCGGAGGCTCTGGCCCTTCGCCTGGCCGCGCGGCGCGGTTTCTGCTTCACCTGAGCAGGACCGCCGTGCGGCGCGAGCGCTGGCCTACGGGGCTCCGCCTCGACCTCAAGCGCTCGAGCGGGCAGACGCCCAGCGTGCGGGCGGCGGCGTCCACGGCGGCGCCCACTGATGGCGGAGCTGCCACCAGTTGGCGGAGGGCCCCTTTGGCCCGAGCTCTACCCTTTCGCTGCGCCCACGGCGCGCGACTACGCACGATGGCGCCTAGACGACGGCGACACCAGCTGGGCGGCTATCCCCCTCGCCTCTCGAGAAGGGGGCATCCTGCTGGCCCTGCCTGGTGCCTTTCGCTCTACAGCGGAGCTCGAGGCTGCCGAGGCGGATGGCTTTGCTGGGATGATAGGCCCCTTCCAGCTAGTGGACGTCCAGCTCCAGGGGGCCGCTTCACGGCCGCTCGCCACTACCGCATCCGTCCTCGTTATAGATATCGAGGTTGCCGAGCTCGAGCTCGAGTCGCTGTACCCTCTAGAGGTCGGCGACGACGCAGGCATCGTTCCCTTCGCCGAGGTGCGCAGCCGCGTCTATTGGCCGCATCCTTCGGGGGTTCGGGTGCTTCGCGAGGGCTACGCTCGTTTGCACGGCGCCCCGCCTACCGCAGGGGAAGAGCCTCTCCCAGGGGCCGATCGGGCTACCCCCTACCACTCTGCCGACGAGATGGAGGAGCCCGAGGGGTTCGCGGCCGACGGGGAAGCCGACCGCGCGGCCCCAAGTGCGCGAGCCCCCGCGGTCGCTGGAGCGCCGCGCGGCCCGCCCGCCAAGCGCGCTGGCGCCGCCGCGCCGCCACGGGTCGCGGGTCCTGCTCCGATTGCTCCTGGTGCTCCTGCGGCGTCTCTGGACGACGGGGCTCCCATGACCCGCGCCGAGGTAGCTGCCGAAATGCGCGCCTTGCTTGCAGCCCACGCGGCCTCCCACGATGGTCGGCGGACCCGAACCGCTGGGCCCCGCTCCGGCTGCCCGGAGCGCTCGGCCCGAGGTGCCTCAGCTTTTCAGCGACGAGGCGGCGCGCCTCGGGCTGGATCCTGCGGGGATCGAGGCCGTCTTGTCCCACGCGCCCGTGGCCCCACATCGGGTCTCCGCGCGCCCCAAGGGACCCACCTCCGCGCTGGTCTCGGCGTGGGAGAAGGCGCGCTCTCTTGCTGTCCCTCGGGCCCCTTCGTCCGCTTCCGGACCGATGGGCCCCCCGCCGCCGCCTGGGCTAGCCCATCCCGCTGCGGTCGACGGCTTTGCCGAGGCGGGCGGCGCCGACGGGTTAGAGCCGCCCCTTGCGGCCAATCCGACGGACTTCAGCCTCATGCTTCAGTGCCTGCACCAGTCCCTTTCCTTGCAGCAGGGGCGGGGCCATCGCCCAGCCTTCCACCCGCTTCTGGGGACCCTGAGCGACCAAGCTCAAACTCCGCCCGCGACCTCGGGCGACCCCGCGCACGCATCGGCTCAGATGGGGGGAATCGCTCGGAGGCGCGAGTGGCAGCAAGCGCTGATGCAGCACGGCCCCGACGTGCGAGGACTGATGAAGGAGAATTTGGCCCGCGTTCTGGGCGTGGAAGTCAGCGCCGTGACCCCCATGGCCATGCATCAGTACTTTCGCGAGCACAGCCCCCTCGGGGCTCAGCCGTCGACGCACGAGTTGTTGACGCATTTTGCCTTCCTCAGCGCCGAGCTGTGGCGGGCCTGCGAGGAGGGCAACCCCGAGAGGGTCCAGACCTTGCTGACTTGCCAGTGCATGTTCATCGACCAGTTGGCGGGGGACCGCGGCTACCTCGAGGCCGCTTGGTTCCTCACGGGGCTGGAGCCTCCCCCGTGTCGCGTGACCAGTCGTCACACGGAGCGCGAGGCCCAGACCCCGTTTTCACCCCTAGTGGATCCTCGCTGGCTGTCGGCGCAGGGCGAATACATGAAGGAGCTGCAAGCATTTCGGGCGCGCCTCGACGCCGAGCGCGCCGTCGCGCTCCCCAAGCATCCACCTCATCAGCCCAAGCAGCCCAAGGTCTCAAAGCCCCCCTTCAAGTCTCAGGGTGCTCCCAAGGCCCCGAAGGCGGTGCCCAAGAAGGACTGAAGATGCCCTTGGCGCCCGCCTTCTTGGAGGGGGGGCCTTCGCGCGGCCGGGGTGCGCCGCCGCAGACAGTCTGCACCGACGCTGCTACCGCTGCTAGGCGTGTTTGGGCGCAGCGAGGGCGTGAGGGTAGGAATGCGCTCCTCCAGCGATGCTGTTGCGGCCCCGCAGGGAGGAGTACGTTCCGCCACCACGCCCCTCGCTCTGCTCCGAACCGCCCCTCGGATCCATTCGGCCTTTTTGGCCGTCACCTGCCTCAGTCGAGCGCTCCCCCCATGGGGCCTGCAGCCCCTGAGGTTGGTGTTCGTGCTGGTGCTTGTTCTCCTTCAAGCAACCCTGCTGCTCTTGCCAACGTCGCGCCATTTGTCGCTGACTTGTCTGCCTTGCTGCGCCTGTTTCCAGGCGCGAACATTGATATCACCCACTGGGCGGCAGCGCTGTCCCAGGTTGGGATGGGTGCTCGATGTTCTCTAGGATCTTTCTCCCGCTCATCAATGCGTGCAATGGACAGGGACGACCCGTACCTTTTGGGGCCGCCTCCCCGCGATCCTTGGCCGTGCCCGCCTGCTCCACCTCTTGGTCCCCCGCCTGACGGCTTGTCGGCGAGGCGCAGGGGGCGCTGGAGATTGCGGCGCGCGGCGCGGACGCTCGCGCAGTATTCTGTTATTGCGTTGAATTGGCTCACGTTGGGTCATCCTAGCCTCGCTCCCGCCGAGGCTCGCGTCCGCGCCACGGTCTCGCCCTGCCAGGAGGGCGTCCGCACCCGTATCGAACGGTTGTGTCGGATCGCAGTTCGCCTTGCCCGTGGCGGCAAGAGCGACTTAGGTCGAGCCTTCGCCAAGTTCGACTCTACTGAGGTTTCGCTCCATGGCCTGGCCACCCATGTTGCAGCTTTGGAGGCCTCCTTCACCTCCTCTTCTTCCGTGCCCGCCCCCATGCGGCACTGCCCGACAGCGCTCCTTCCGTGCCTGGTTCGCTGGCGTCTGCGGCGGCTTGGGACTCCACCCAGGTCGAGCCCTTCGATTTAAAAGTCAGGGCGTCTCGCATTAAGTGGGATTACTCGCCAGTGTTTGATCCCATTCCATTTCTCTCTGACGCTCGAGTCCGCGAAGCGTTCATCAATCCAGAGGAGATGCGGCTCCCGGCGTCAGAGTGGCCTGCTGGCCAAAGGGGGGCGCGTGTCCATATGGACCGCGCCGAGCTGTGGGCCCTGCTCCAGAAGTGGGATGCCTGCGGCGCCCTGTA